AAAAATGAACACAGTAAGAGTGCGGTGGACCTTGATAACGTTTCAGGTCAGATTTTTATCACAACATTCTGATTTACAAGTTATTTTATCACTATTCATACCATACATTGCACATTGATATCATAATATTCAGTAGATTCTGTTCTTTTGCAAGCATTTTGTAAGAGAAATAATATGTTTGGGAGAATGGAAAAGAAAAACTATGCTTCTATCACGCAAAGCAATCCAAAATCACCATTCTGATGTTAAAAAAAATAGTAAAAAAATGATTGAATAGTTTCTTCTATACAGCAGTGTAATCAAGGGCAAACTTTGGTCCAAAGAAAAAAGTTGCTAGGCAGATGTGCTCACTCCAAAACTGGAAATTGATATCCTGAGTCAACCAAAACTCTGAACTCTTTCTAATAAAGACATCCTCCCAGGGTGAACAGTTTTCATGGAAGCACTTAAGGATGGAGATATTATTCCAGTTTTTTCACTTTTTTAATATTTTCAAGTGTTAAAGGGGCATTTCCAGAGCACTGGCACACGCCACTCTATGTATGTTATTACCTTTTTTTCTGACTGACAGGGAAATTCTTTATATTTGGAAATTTTTAAAATTTGCCTGTTTACCTTAATGCAGGCAACCAAGACATAATTCTCTCTGCTTATGGCTTTTGTTCTTTTTCCATCTGTGCCCTTTCTGATTTCACTAACACGTTTGTCACTCTACTTCTGTCTTCCCATCATTTAACATGACACCAGCTGTCTAAACATTCTTGTCTTCACCAAGAACAAAATCAAGAAATTTCACTTCTCATTCCTCTGTTCTCTATTCCTCATTTCATTCTTAATTCCTGAGGAAAAAAAGATCCTGAAGCTATCCTGTTGGGAGACAATATCCGCTTTTGCTCCCATATCACCTCTGCAGTATGTTTTCAGGGACTTCATGAATCCTTGAGAGGACAACACAGAAACAGAACATACTGGTTTTTGCTGTTGTTCTTTCTTTTTTCTTCTTTAATTTAAATAGGCTACAGGACCAGTTCCACTTACCCTTGTGAATCTTGTCTTTTAAGATTGCTCACTTATTTACATAATATGCAAATATTACAGGATTCCTCCTCCTAGAAGCTTAGCTGAATCAGTTTATAAAGGGTTTTTAACTGGGTTTCATTCCCTGTGTGTCCTTTCATATCTGGAAGTGATTAAACAAGATTTGTTGACAAATTATTTCCTGTTTGTAAAATGCAATACTGTTACAATGTAACAGTTTTTTTGGCCTTTAATTCCTTAAGAAATATCAGAATTAAAAGAAGATTAAAATGTTCAATTTCAACAGAGAACATATTCTCCAAATACATAATTTGCTGTCACAAATAAATTCATCATTTTGGAACTGGGATACAGATTTAAAGTGCTGGATTACATAGGAGAGAAAAGAAAAGAAAAGAAAAGAAAAGAAAAGAAAAGAAAAGAAAAGAAAAGAAAAGAAAAAGAAGAATATGTGGATGTAATAAGGGAATATTCAAGTTTCTTCTCAAAATGTTTTTTGGAATGTGTCCCTCTTGCTCTTTAAAGAGAGAAATAAGTTATTTCAAAATAACTCTGAATACAGTGATGATACACATCATTCAGAAGGTGTGTGGGTGTCTGTTCTGTGAAGACAGCTGAAAAGTGAGCATCATTCCTACTGCAGATAACACAGTGTGATGCTAATCGTCTTTGCACCAAGTAGTGGGAATAAGATATGCAAATTCATTTCTTTTGTCTTAGCAGAGAAGCAAGATTTTCCAGATATCACTAACAGATACTGTAAGAAACAAGGAGGCTGGATCATGGCCATATCAGTGTGATAACCTTATATGTAGGAATACAAATACACACATGCACATCCTGCATTATATCGTGATTTTCACATCCTTCCCTTTAGTATATCATTCATGTACTAGATAACCATGCAAAAATACCACTGACACATTCATCTCTTCTAGCAAGGAATATAAGACCAGCAGCTGCTACACCACAGAGAATATACCTATTAGAAAAAGCATATTTTGTTAGAAGCTCAACATTATATAACAGAATAATGAAAATCTTATTTGTTCATGTGCATTTTATGTATTTTTTTTTCCATAGAGGTTATTTTTTTCCATAAAATATATTGTACTGCATTTTCATTACATAAATACTTTTTATATAGCACATTATTTCCTCTTTTATTTCAGATAAGTCATTACTGGTATTGCATTTTGAGGAAAAAAAAAGGTTGAGCAGAACTTTGTTATACCCTGAATAAGAACAGTGCCTAGTAATGACTGTGTTGTAGAAATGTCAAGGCTGAAATTGGCAGTGGGTGGAGATCTCTTTAAGGGGAATTAAGTAAGTGGATAATGGAGTGAAATACTCTTATTGTGGAAAAAAAAAAAAAAAAAAAATCCTTGATTTCTGAAAGGAGACAGATTACTCATAAGCAATCTGAAATTAATTTGAAGAGGACTAACAAAACATAAAGTTGAAATAATTTACAGAGCACCATTTAGTACAGCTTTTAGACAGATTCTGTCTGTGAGTTAAAGAACGCAGAAGAGAATATTAACAGCAAAACTGGTAAAGGTTTAACATTCTCATGTTCAGCTTTCCAGCCTTGAAATTTGCTTCCATCAGCAACTAAGAGGCAGGCCTGACTGCACAGATTTTATAGTTATTCCTGACTCCAGTAATGCACAAGTTCTCTGAGTTTTGAAATGATAGTTCAGAATTTGTGTCATTTTTTCTAAAAATGAGTAAAAATATATAAATATTTTTTTTTGTTTGTATTCACTGAGGCAGCTTGAAAACATACATCTCTAGGAATATCATATAAAGACTATAGAGGGATCAGGCATAAACATGCAAAATTAGCATCGTTTCAGTAATAGAGGAAATCATAAGAGCAGAAGTAAAAGAGAAAGATTAAATCTGGGAAAACTTGATAATAGGAGATTGCAGAGGAAATTACTAATGCTTGGTCTTAAAATTTAGCAAAGCATGTTAGCTTAGGGAATAGTGAATGGGGATGATTTTTGGAGGATTTAAAGACAGGATTTATCTTGGCAGTTCCCCTCAACATGGCAAAAAACAGGAAAGATACAGTTCTTCACTGAACTACATCTGAAACTCTGTACTTTCATATTTGTGCATATTCCTATGCTGCCTGGAAATCATGGTCCAAAACCAGTTCACATCAAGAACACAAACAGAGGCAGAAATTTGTGATAGATGACCTCAGCGGTCTTACTCTTGCCGTCTCCTGCATTAATGTTAATTTCTTCTTTTAATTTCTTTCTTTCTTTGCACCACCTTTTAAAACTCATGTTAACAAATTTATTACATTTTAATTCATCTGATCTTCTGTTCAGTTTCCTGTCAACTTTTTTTTTCTCACTTTCTCGATAGTGAATATTCGTTGGAGAAGGGTCTTGTTTTTGCTAGCCATTACAAAATATTGCTCATATGTACAGATATAAATTATTTTTATTATAGCCTTGGTGATCATCTTTCTGTGTCTGCATTTATTTTCTTCCTAAAATACCAAACAAATTATTTCCATGAAGGATTAACAGTCTTTAGCTTGGCAAAAAATATCTTCTGAAAGCAGGTCTACATTCTGTTGGAGTTGCTGTATTATTAAAAGTGACTTCAGAAATTAATACAGTGTTTTGGTAAAAGAACTGACATGCATACTCGAAAATCCACATATCAGTTTTGCCACAAGTAATTTAATACAACCAGGATATGAAAATTTGGAGGACAAATATAGATAAAAATATGATAACTCCACTACTAGTCTAATCAGCACACCACTTTCATTTGAAAATGGTCTTGTACAACTCACTGTACTGTACATGAGAAAGAGGATAATTCTGACTCCCCATATTGCTCCTCTTTTTAACCACGGTAAAACCAAGAGGTGTTTGCAAAACTTTGATTGTTTGCCATTTTGTTTTCTAAAGTGACTTGGCAGCCCTTCAGTTAATGTGCTTTCACAGATGCATTCAAATGGCTGAAAATCATATTATCCTCAACGAAACATTAAAAAAAAATTGGCATTTACTTAAACATTCATGGTCAGATTTCGATATCTTTGCTTACAGTGAATTTTTATATTACCCTGAAATTGACTCTTCTGGTTGATGGATTTACTTCCCTTTTACTTTTGTGATAGCTAAAGGAAATCTGCACTGGATATTCGTACATATCAGCAGGGAATAAACCCTGAGTAAACAAATATGTAAGAAGGAGTAACTATGCAAAAAACTGAGAAACTAATATATTAATCCATCAGGAAATAGATGCACACTAATCCAGCAAAATAAATAAATACAAGTAAAATGTACTAAGAAGATTATTTCCTACTCCTTTTTCTCTCCCCACAATGTCTTTACAGGCTTAATTTCCCTTTTCATCAATTTTTTCTATAGCAGTCTTTATTCTTCCATTTTTCCAGCAAGTCATACAGATAATTGGTTAAGTCCACTCTAGAGTCTAACCATCAATTCCCAGACACAGCATCTTTCAACTCAATGTTTTTTGATGATTGCAACTGCACTTACAGGAAAATAAGTAAGTATTTATCAACATACGGCAACTTCTAAATCTGTGTATGAAAATACACAAACAGATAATTAAACATCAACAAAATATCAATAGGATTAAAATGTCATGTTGGAACAAATCTTGATAAATCATTTCAATAACAATACTCTAACCACAACATCATAAGGGGAATATAAATTTAGATCATTAAAGTGCTGTTGGACAAATAAAGACCATTAATATATCCGCTAGGCATTTTTCTTACTACTAAGAGATTCTACTATTGTGCTACAGATGAAAGCTTTGGCTAAAAAGAGATTTGAAAACATGTAAATTAATGCTATCAACATAATAAATATCTTATTTATCAAAAACTCAATGATATACTGGCATATTTAATTGCAAGGAATCAAAATGGGTTGATATTTAGACATACATACCAACAACAGACATCTCTGGAACTGTGGCATGATAAGGACCATCAACAAACTCCGGGGCATTGTCATTGATGTCTTGAACCTTTATAATGAATTCTGAAGGAGGCTCCAGAGGTTTGTTTGTGTCCCTGTCGACTGCTTGAGCTGTTAGAGTGTACTCAGCTTTTTCCTCACGGTCAAGCCTTTTCATTGCATGAATGTCTCCAGTCTTGTCATTGATCACAAAGATAGTTCCAGCACCATCTCCTGATAGGATATACTTGATTTTGCTGCTGCCAGGATCCAAGTCTGTATGCAACTAAAAGGAAAAATAAGCATTTTAGAGATAGAAATTACAGCTGATTTTCTTTTTCTTTTTAGTTTTTTTTTTTTTTTTTTCTTTTTTTTTTCCCCATTGGTTTAGCCATACATTTTCTCAAGCTTTTCTTTTGTACTTTAATCTTAGCTCCAGTGATCCATATCTCAGCTTGAATGTACAGGGAGAGTAGGGATTTGTATGCATACTAATCAAATGTGAATGCAATCATAGGCATAATTAGACTTTCTATTTAAAAAGCAGCTGTTATATATATTTTAAATCCACGTTCTAAAATTTAAATGTCTTCAAAACTATTATCAGCTAAAATGAAGAAGCACAAAATGTCCTCAACCTATTAGATCAAAGGGTGAGTGAAGGATTAAAAATAATACATAGTTTAATCTAGTTGGTTACTCTAAGGTATTGCTTTCATCTTGTTTTCAAGGGACTTAAAATGGCTGAACACTGGCATCTATGGAAATGTTTTAATGGACAGCATTCCAGAATTTTAGAACTGTATCACAAGTCACATTGTAGCTTAACTTGAAGGGTTCTATTGCTTCATCTGAAATACTTTTAAAGTAGGTTTCCAGAAATATAAGAAAAAAAACATACATACATCTACCCATTTTCCTCAACCCATTAGAAGAAATAATATCATTACTGAACTTTTTAAAAAATAAGGTAGGATTAAAACAACCTGAAACAGCATAAGAAAAGCAGGTGTTTTTATTTGATTTTTGCTGTTGTTGTTACTTAAAAACTTAAAGAGTGGAACACTAGAGAAAAGACTTTCATTGATTTTCTGTAGCTTCAAAGCCAAGGCCTAAATATCAGATTATCTCCAATAGTTTTTAATTTGCAAGGGCAAGTGCACTAAATGTTTTCATGTAAATACATTTAAAAATATGATAATAATTTAAATACACAATAAAATGTTTTAAGTACTGTTAATTTACTGTTAAATCTAACACACCTAACATGAAAAATAAGTGAAGAACATAGCATTACAAATGTACATTGTTTTATCATTACTTCTCTCTACCTCACAAAAAGTATTCTAAAGGAAATACATACAACCTTTTTAGGATGGTTGCAACGTGACTTAGAACTACCACTAGACTTGTTCCTGTTTGCCTATTTTTGTGCAGGAGTAGCTCAGCAGAAGCTGTTGCTGGCCATGTATTTTAGTCTTAAATGGAAAACACTAGTTGCTGTGCCCTGGAAGTGTTGTCACTTGCTATAAGAACTAGCATGGAGATACTAAAATTGGTGTGAAAATAAGACTTGTAGACTTGACTACAGCCAAGCAACAAGTAGATTCTATGACATACTACAAGCAGGCTCTGCAGATAGTTGCTCATATACAATCATATCTGAAAACAAGATTGTTTAGCACCACATTTGCTGGGCAACACATTATTACCACATCAGTATTTCAAAAAAGAATTTTTAAGCAGTTTAATTGCCAGTGAATATGAATGACTCAGTCCAGTTCACTCTTTCTACCCACTCCACATGAATGTACACACGGATGTCACGTGACAGCTGAGTCCTCTGTTGTTTTCTCTTTCTTACCATAGTTGCAATCAACTTTTACTTGACAACAATCAACACAATCAAAGTTAACCAAAGTTAACAGCACTCTTCTGCAGACTGGTACTGCAGTTCTGTCTGCTAAGTGAGATATATTTATTAAAAAAGTCTTGAAGGTTATTGTCCTTATGTGAGGGATAATGCTCGATCTAGGTAACATAAACATTTATTTCCAGGTTCCAGAACCTGTCAAGAAGCAATCCAGAATCTCTTTGTGTTTTAAACAGATTGTTTATACTTTAAGCATCTGTCTGATCCCTGAATAAAATCTATATGTTATTAACATTGCATATGAGGGTTTTGGCAGAATATTCTTAGCTGAATTACAGTGATGTCATGTCACAACATTGTCAGGACACACACAGCTCAGCAAAGCAATTGGGAACACCTCCAGTTCACCCAAGTATATAAAGCATTATACTGAAAAACTGTATTCTGAATTTCTAAGGCAGCACTGGCTGGATAAAATAGATATTCCATATCAATATTTGAGAATGCACAAAGATCCTGCAATTTACTATCTGCTAGTAAGTAGGAGAGGCTGTCAGTATAATCTCCAGTGTAAGTTTTACTCATATTATCCAACAGAAGTTAAGGTTCATAAATCAGTTCTGGGACAAATGAATGTAACACAATAAAACCTTCGCAGCGCTAGCAAGATACTAGTTGTTAAAATGAAATATATATATATATATATATGATTAGTATTAACTGCTTCTTTTAGTAAGTTAAAGTCCTTTCAATCAAAAGAAAGAAATATATATTGCTTTTTGAAACACTACAAAATTAAGAATTAAACAAAATTAAGAATTAGATGAAAAATGGAAGTGCTGGAAACATTTCATAATGTTAAAGTTGAAACTGAGTCTGATTAGTGAAAATCAGTTTTTTAGCCAAAGATTAATAGCGGTTAAAAAGTTTCAGTTCTGTAATAAAAAACGAGCCATACACATGGCACTTACTGAGACCACATGTACTTGTGGTGAGTATCTGGGCCGATATATTAAAAGATCTTTTCCAAGTTTTGAAGGTCTTACAACTTACTAACAAAATATTGTAATAAATGACCTCTAGAAAATCCATATTTTCAAAACAATTTCATTATTTAGATTTAAGATTAAAATGTCATTGTCTTTGTTAGAATTTCACTTCAGTTCTGTGATTTAAGCCAGAAAGCATAATATATTTTAACAAGTAACATTTTCAATCTTCCACCCATTGGGAATGATAATTTACAGGCATTGTCAAGCTTCAGCAAGCTGCGTTCATGCAAAGGTTAAAGATCATTAAACACATAATTATATGAGGTTAAGGTGAATGATACAGAGACATAATGAATATGATAAATGAATATCAGTTTTTGCAGAAAAAGCCTCACAAATGCAGCAAATGTGAAACTGCTTTTCCACACTCTAGCTTTATTTGTTGCGCCTGTGCTTGAAAGTTGACCTCCGGTTTTTCAGAGCAATACTGAGAAATTAACAAGAATTTCTATTTAAAATAAAAAGGGAAATCTATAGCTAATCCCTATGTTTCACTACTCACTAGTATCCCAAAATGAAGAGAAAATTATGTTTACTGGAAAACTTCAGTATGTTCAGAGCGAGTCAAATTCCATTCCTTTATGTGAAATTCAGTTAATTAGACTTCAAAAGAAGCAGTATCTTCTATCTCCATTGCTGCCCCGACTGTGGGACTACAAAAATCAAACATCTTTCCCTTAAAGTAGCAGATGCAATCCCATTGCCCAAATTCTGCATTGATTTATGGCAACAAGAGAGGTTTTGGACCCTCTCCTAGTGTTAATGGTTATGCAGATGCACTGTATTAATACCCAACTAATGGCTACCATGTAGCCTCAGCATAGGCTCTCTCCTAAAATATGAACTTCATTCAGAATGAAGCCTATAGACACCACAATTTCTAATCTTTAGACTACTCTGCAACAAAACAAAAAACACAAAAACATCTTGAGAATATTACTCATATTAAATCCTCTTTTTCTACAGGTAATCATTTTATTTTCAACCACATTTTCTTAAGAAAGGTGCTGTTCAAAACCAGGCACACAGCCAAGACCTTAACGCAAAGACCAAAACTACAGAAGCTTCAAGCAAGGTTCATGAAGATCTTTCACAGTTCTGGGCACACAGTGAGGTTTGAGTGCCTTCTGCAGATGGAAAATGTCTCACCTGCTCTCCGTCAGCTACCTGGCAAATCAACAGTAGCCAAAACAACAGCTCGCTCAGCACAGTGAATGTCATATTCAAGCCATGTGCTCACCATCAGGAAAGTACACAACACACTTGGGTCTGGTCCTTATCCAGAATGAGCAGAACATGGCTGACTGGCCTCTGTGGTAGGACTGGTCATTTGGAGAAGTCATGCCCAGACAGAGATGCACCATCAAGGGAGAGATTTGTAACCCCAGTTTTCTTATATTAATAGAAAAGTTCAAATACATCAAAAATTCACACAAGTGGGAGAAATTTATATGCTATAAAAATGCCCCTCGATGTTTTTAACTAAGAAAAGAGAAGACAGCACTATGTAGTCAAGTTTTTATTTGAGTTTGTTAGAAAATAATTAATTTATCCTCATATAATTACAAGGGAATTATCTCTTCCTTGTTTCAAGAGAAAAGGCATAATCTATCCATACAACTTCATTTTAGAATTTGCATCATTTTTCTTGTTCCTAACTCAGGAGATGTTTTTAAGGGTATAATTAGAGAATCACTGATTTTCACCAAACGTAACACAGATATGCATACAACACACCTACACTCTCCTAATGTTATTCCTCTGTTCCTTGCAATAAGATTCCTCATTTCTGAAGTAGGACCCATTTCAGAGACATGCTTTTTGGTTTTTATGACTCTTATCCAAAACCACTGAGTTATGAGCAACTCCACCTCATTCCATAAGAGCATGGAACTATTTTCGTGGATTTTACAATCATTTATAAATATTAAAGCTTTCAACAACTGTAATGCACTTTACAAATTATGCACTTCTTTCTGCATCTGACTGTTCAGTCATTTTTCTAAAAATGTGAACATCATCAGGTGTTCCAGAAGGTTTTTGTGTGTTGTTGACAAGTTCTGACTCATAACAGACAATCAGCCATTCACTGACGACTCTAATTTAAAAATAAATAAATAAATAAATAATAAATCATAATTAAACTATTATAGATACCATCAATTCATTTGCATTAAATGCAGAATTAATGAATTGGATGTGATGCAAACTTAATAGAATCTTCCATTCTCTCCAAGGATGGACTGGTCCCATATTTAGTAATGGGAATTATAGCTTCACAATGGGGAAGAGGAAAACCAAAATATTCTGCATTATTATTCAGGGTAATGACAAATTGGAGCACAGGCTTGATGTACCTGA